TCCTGGTAGTCCTTGGGGACCACATGCGGCATTGGGGATTGAACTGGGATCAGCTATGTGCTAGGCAAGCAGGTGCCTTCACCCTGCCTTCTAGGCCCCAGTCAGATTTTTTTAAAAAGAAAAAACAGTATATTTAGAAAAACACATTCTAGAGGATAATCAACTCAATGGCAAAAGGTGCAGGGATGGGGAAACTCAGTTTCTGTAGTGTTTCAGTTTTTATTTATTTTTGGGTATTTGGACCATATTCAGTGTTGCTCAGAGGCTGTTCCTGGCTATGTTCAGGAGTGCCAAGGTTTGAACCAGGTTTGTTGCCAAAGCACCTAATGCAAGACATGTGCCTTACCTTCTGTCCTCTCTCTCCCCGCCTAGACTGACTACATATTACTGTTTGATGCAGTGAAGAAGTTTAAGTGCACATTTTTTAGATGCTGTTGTTCAATTGTATTACTTTTTTCAGGGGCGGGGGTGGGGGTGTGGTGTGTGCGCGCTGTATAAACCATACCCATCTGTGCTTTACTACTTCTAGCAGTAACTTTGCCATAAGACCTTCTCCCTCTCTCCCTCTTTGTCTCTGTCTCTCTCTTTTGGGTGTGTGGGGACCAGTGACAGGAATTAAGCCCCTGTCCTTACACCTGCAGGGTACACTACCCCAACCACATCCCCAGCCCAATAATACTCTCCTTTGTCATTTGCACCAGTAGATTGCATTCAACATTCTTCAAACTAAAGTTCCTTTAACTTTGTTGAAATGGAATTTTACTAGTATAACTTGGATTAAAAGAAAAATTATTATTTTGGGGGAGGGTGGCCAGGGAGCACACCCAGCAGTGCTCAGGTTTTATTTTTGATTCTCTGCTCATGAGACCGTATGCTGTGGCAAGTGTGAAACCCAAATTGGCTGCATACAAGGCCAGCACCCTACCTACTATACTATCTCTACGGCCCAAAGGAAGAAATTTTTGAATTCAACTTCTAAAAATCTGAATTTTTAACATATTTCCCTATTCTTTATGAAATATCAGTTAGTAGTTTCCAATTTTCTAACACTTTCTAACACTATTTCTAACACTATTAATTTACCAACTATTAAAATGTTGGTAAATTTTGCACATGGCAGTGCGAAATTGAATTGTCATGAGTTTGATAGACGAGTGAGATGAGATGTGTAAAATTTCTGATCCATCTCAAAGAGGAGTAGCTTGGTAGTTTCCTAGAAAATTGTAGACAAGGGGATGGTCAGCTCTGAAAACAAAATATTTTGCATTGTGACCAGTTTAAGAAAGCAGTCCATGTTCCCAGGCTGTCTTGTCTGTCCTCAGGGTGGCTCTACAGACTATTGGAGGGAATTGTGGTTTTGATCTGCAGCCTGCCACAGTATATCTCCAAGATGCCTTTAGTTTAATGTTCTTCCAAGAGCCTTTAGGCAGTGTCTTTAAAACATCTTTTTTAAAAACCAATTTAATTATTTTAGCACAGCTCTGACAGCTTGGGAAATTATAATTAACTGTATAGATTAAACGCTGTAACGAAGGCCTTGAGTCAGACTTCTTATCTACCAAACTTAACCTTTTTTAAGCAGTTCTCAAACTTGGTATACTTGTTCTTGTATTTATACTTTTACTGTTAAGCATGTTAAAACCAGGGGTGGAATAAATCAAAACAACAATGATGATAAAAAAAATAGGTATCTGACTCTACAACCTAGGGGCTAGAAACGGCTTAACGTGGCTGAGTGCAAGCTTTTGTGCAGGAAGCCTGGATTTATCCATGGCACTACATATTCTTTTACGCACCACCTGTAGCAACCCCTGAGCATTATCAGGTGTGGCCCATCCCCATCCCTACCCCACCACCAATTACACACAAATAAGCCCCACAACTCTGTGTAGAATATTAATTCTCAAACTATATAGAAAGGCAATTTGTAAAAATGTTTTGAAGGGGTGTTCTGGGACCACAGTGCTCAGGGGCAGCTTCCAATTCTATTGCCTTAGGGACTTCCCTGGCAGTCTTGGAGGAAACCTTGTGGTGCTGGGATTGAACTGGGTCAAGAAAGAAGGTACCTTAACTCCTGTACTATATTTCTGGCCCAGACTCAAACAATGTTTTTACCTGTAAAACTTCTATAGTATTGATGTTCCATATTGTATTTGGATGATCAAAAAGGCAGCGGTGGGTAGAGGACAACTTTTTCCTGTAAACTTCCTTGTCTCTGAAGAAGGAATTCTGCCTGTTCGTACCAGAGTTTCTTGGTATGGCCAGCTTTTACCCTGTCATCATCTTGGGGACCTATACCTGAAATGAAATTTCCATGACCTTCAGTCTCAGGAATTCTTTCATATCAGACTTACCATAAAACCTAGATATCCTTATTTGTTTATCTATTTATTTATTTGGGTTTTTTGGGCTTACCCCTGGCTCTGTACTTAGCAGTCACTCATGGCAGGCTCAGGGGACCATATGAAATGCCAGGGATTGAACCTGGCTTGGCTGCATGCAGACAGGATTCTTGCCCACAGTACTTTCTCTTTGGTCCCAAATCAGGTAACTCAATTTTTGCCTTACCCCCCAAGATTCCTGTTCATGTAAGAATTAATGACTTCAGGGCCGGAGTAGGGCACAGCGGGTAGGGCGTTTGCCTTGCACGCGGCCAACCTGGGTTCGATCTCCAGCATCCCATATGGTCCCCCAAAGCACTGCCAGAAGTAATTCCTGAGTGCAGAACCAGGAGTAACCCCTGAGCATTGCTGGGTGTGACCCAAAGAGCAAGAAAAAAAAAAGAATTAATGACTTCACTAATACATAATACAGCCTTTTTCTGAAATGGCTTCTGAGTTTCTGAGATTCCTTGAAGATAATGAGCAGTTCTTTAGTAGCATCGTTGGGTGATTTGTTGAAAGTTATTTTTGACTCTACAGTCTTTATGATCACATACATGGTAAAGAGGTGCAGTGCTGCCCCCTGGAAAGCTTTTCTATTCTAGCGTGCTGCTCTCTACTTCCATCTGGGGTTTTTCTTCACTCTCCCTTCTTTTAAAATCTGGCACAGACTTGATGGAATTAAATACTTGGGCCACTTTGATATTTAGGAAAGTTCTACTTCATCATTGAACTCAAGGAAGTCAGCAGCTTCATTCATTATGATTACAAGTAGCTTATTATATGGCTAGCTTTTGTTATTTTCTTGCACTCTAAGTAACATGTAAAACAGGACATGGGCCTTTTTATAATGAATATTTTTAAAAATGGGAGTGAGGTTGTTGGTAATTATTGAACTCTTTGGAGACATGCATATATCCAAGATTCCCTTTTTTTCCACCTGAGAATTATTTATTACTTTTCAGACTTTTCGTGGAAAAATAATGCTATTGAACAAGGGACTTATCTACAATATGTTTAGTGTGTTTAACAGAATTAAAAGAACATATATGTTTGAAGGAGTCCATTTTTTATGTTGCCTTATAGAATGAGAATGTTTTATAAACCCCATAGGTGACTTTGTCTTTGTCCTAAGACAAGGATACATATATCTGGTTGGGGATTATTAGGCCATATTAGTCCCGTTTGGTAACCATTAATGCCATGTAGCTATTTAAATTCACATTAATTAAAGGTAAACAAAATAAAGAATTCAAGTTTGATCAAACTGGCCACTTTTTTTTTTTTTTTTTTGCTTTTTGGGTCACACCTGGCACCTGGCGATGCTCAGGGCTGACTCCTGGTTCTGCACTCAGGAATCACTCCTGGCGGTGCTCAGGGCTGACTCCTGGTTCTACACTCAGGAGTCACTCCTGGTGGTGCTCAGGGGACCATATGGGATGCTGGGAATCGAACCTGGGTCGGCCGCATGCAAGGCAAACGCTCTACCCACTGTGCTATTGCTCCAGCCCCAAACTGGCCACTTTTTAAAGTAATTTCATATATATGTCACAGATGGTTAGTAGTAATATAATTTATATCATTGCAGAAAATATTTTTGGGCACCTATGTACTTGACTGGCTCTTTTATTTAATTTATTTTTTTAATTAATGAAACACCATGAGGTACAGTTGTAGACTTACAAACTTCCGTGCTTGGGTTTCAGTTATACAATGATCAAGTACCCATCCCTCCACCAGTGCCCACTCTCCACCACCAATAAACCTAGTGGCCTTCCCATCCCCATCCCCCCACCCTGCCCCACCTCTGTGGCAGGGCATTCCCTTTTGCTCTGTCTTTCCTTTAGGGTGTTGTGGTTTGCAATAGAGGTACTGAGTGGCCATCGTGTTCGGTCTATAGTCTACTTTCAGCACGCATCTCACATCCTGGGCGAGTCCTCCAAACACCCTTTACTTGGCGTTCCCTTCTCTGTCTTAGCTGCCTTTTCCCCCAGCATGTGCTGCCGGCTTCCAAGCCATGGAGCAGACCTCCTGGTACTTATACTATTCTTGGGTGTTCGTCTCCCCTTCTGTTACTTTATATTCCCCAGATTAGAGTAGTCTTTCTATGTCTGTCCCTCTTTTTCTGACTCATTTCTCTTAGCATGATACTTTCCATGTAGTACCACTTGTTTGTAAATTTCATGACTTCATCATTTCTAACAGCTGCATAGTATTCCATTGTGTAGATGTACCAAAGTTTCTTTAATCAGTCATCTGTTCTTGGGCACTCGGGTTTTTTTTCTAGATTTTGGCTATTGTGAACAGTGCAGCAATGAAAATACAAGTGCAGATGTCATTTCGACTATACTTTTTTTTTTGCCTCTCCGGGATATATTCCCAGGAGTGGTATTGCTGGGTCAAATGGGAGCTCAGTTTCTAGTTTTTTAGAATTGACTGGCTCTTTTAAAGAAGACAGACATAAATAAAACAGGAAAATATTTAAAAGTTGTGTTTCCACCCTTAACAGTGCAACTTTTTCCCATTATTTTACACTCTTGATTATAATTCAGAAAAAGCTTCATCTTTATAAGTACTCTCAACTTGACCATGTTTTTTAATGTTTATTTTGTTTTCTAGGCTGGCAGTGATGGTGAAAGCATAGGAAACTGTCCCTTTTCCCAGAGGCTTTTCATGATCCTTTGGCTCAAAGGAGTTGTTTTCAGTGTTACAACTGTTGATCTGAAAAGGTAAGACTTGTTTTGCTCTTTAGGATCACTTAAATAAATTCTTCATGATCTTTTCTCATTCCTTTGTTTTCTAAAGGAAATGCATTGTGTGAAACTTCAGCTTATTTATGTACAAATTTAACTTCAGCGTCATGAATATCATAATGTCAATTGCATGTAGCCATTCATTCTTCTTAAAAAAAACAAACTCACCTTACCTGAAATTTTAAGAGAGCACCATTATCTCAGTTGTAGTGTGGATACAGTGAAACTTGATTTTCTAGTTAAATATGGGACTATGTTTTGTTTTTTGGGGGGATCACACCTGATGGTTCTCAGAGCTTTCTCCTGGCTTTGTGCTGAGGGATCACTCCTGTTCTGGGGGGCCGTATGCAGTGCTGGGTATTGAACTTGGGTCAGCCACATATAAGGCAAGTATCCTTAACTGCTGTACTACCTACCTCTGATCCCATAGTTAAACATGAAACTATAAGAAATTTTCTAGACAGATAATTTCTTAGTCTCATATGCTAAATAATTGGACTCCATAATCTGGAACTTGATTAGAGAGGAATGGGATTTTAGGAGGCTGAAAACTGCTGTGGTCTATTTCATTTAATTAACTTTTCAGGAATTTTGTATAATAAAAACTTTGTCATGTTTGGTTCATTTAATTATTACAAAAAGAGTCATTTTTTAGTCAAGGACTATTTCCTTAGCAAGCCAGTCTAAGATTATTCATACTTAATTTTTTGTTTTCCTTTTTATACCAAAGTTAAAGAACTATTTTATATGCCAACATGAAATCAAGGATTTGTCAATGAAAATGTTTTCCTTTTGACCCAAATGCTACAACATAGTTTTTTTTTTAACAACATAGTTTTAAGCAGCTAAGACATGAACAGTGTTCAGTAGTAAATATGGACATCACGTTGCTTGATGGTAAGGTTATTTATGTTATGCTACGTGATATCACATAAGAGTTATCTGTCAGCTGTATTCTCACCTCTAGTTTTAAATTAGCGTACTTAAAATTTGTTCTTTACTGCTAGTGTGCTTATTTGAGAGGTTGCAAACTTAAAAATGTATTTATTGAAAACATGCCAAGAAGTACTCTAGGAAGTCATGTATGTGAATGTGGAGATAAACCGTGGAGAATAGTTAATAGTCAAAACTACTCCTCTAAGGGTTGGAAAGAATAAGTTACAGGTGTTAGAGTGCATTGCATATTGCCAACCCAGGTTTGATCCCTGGCACCACATGGTTCCCCAAGCATGGCCAGGCTGTAACAAAAAATAAAAAACAGACAAGTTCTTATGGAAGCATTCCTATGTTATGTTGGGCAGAGCTGTTGTAAAAACAAATTTAAATATGTAGCTATCACTCATTACAGTTTTTTTCCTCCCTGAATACATTCAGAGTTCCCCTATTAAACTTCTAAAAATAGACCATGCCACCAGGCACACACCCTTACAATGTCTTAAAATACATGCATTCCTCAATGTCCGTTTTTGGCTTAGTGAAAGTGAGTTGACGCCCTGTTTCAGAGAAACCTTTGAACAGCTCAGTACAGTGCTTGATTGTATTACACAGCAGTAATAGTGCCATAAGTGATGGGAATCTGGTTCAGAAAAGGAATGCATAATGACTATTTTAAAATTCTTCATTTCACTCTATATTCACAAAGTTTTAAAGAAATTGCTCTTCTATAAGTTCCTTAATGTTTGAAGATTTATGTTTAAAGGTAAATGTGTCCTATTTGTAAGAAGTGCCAGATAAAAAGTAAGATGAAAAATTTAGGGCCTAGCCTTCTAATGAGAAAATTATCTCTCAAAAATTATATTCCTCGAGCTTTACTTAAAATCAACTGGAGAGAACACTAAAAATTGGAATATATATATTTTTAGTTTTCTTACGTCTGCAGTACATGTTAACAAATGCTTTTTAAGGGTAATTAAAAGTATATAAGTTGTACATAACAAATTTCCTCCATCCTCATCCCCTAGTAATTGGCTTTCCCTCATAGAGATTGTTGCATTTAGGTTTGCTCTTTGTTCTTCCAGACCTTTCCAGTGATTTTACATACTTGTAAATGCTTGCAGTCTTTTTTTTTTATTAAAAACCTTTTTTTTAGTGAGTAGTCTTATAAGATTTCAAAGAGAAGTTAATCCAGAAGTCTGAATATTGGCTCTATTAAAAATTCAGTACAAAATAAATGTTACACAGGAGAGTTAATATAGGGGTTAAGGCAACTGTCTTGTACATGGCTGACCTGGGTTTACACCCAACACCACATATGGGACCTGGACTCCCTCCAGGAGTGATCCTTAAGCACTGAGCCTGGAGTAAGCCCTGAGCACCACTAGATGTGGCCCAAAACCTCTTTGTCCACACACACACACACACACACACACACACACACAAACAAACCAAGGTTAATGAAGAACAGAATATCTTGAAGTAAAAAGTACCTCTCATAATATATTCTTAATACAAAAGCTTTAAATAGAACTTTTAAAAAGCTGTGAACAAATGCCAATTTCATAATCCTTATTTTCTTGCTTTCTCTGATAATTGCATAATTCCTTTGTGAAAAGTACTGATTTTAGAACAAATCCATGGAGAGCAGTAGAACTCTCCTGAGAACCATTTAGAAACCCACTCTAAGCTTTGAAAAAATGATTGTTACATGACATTTCTTTCTGTGAAAAGACATCAATTCCTGGCTCTGCTACCACATGTAACACTTTCTTTTTGACGCTCAGTTGGAGTTAATCACTATGCTGGTGGTATTCATATACCCTTGAGAGGCTCAAAACAGTCTCCCGTTGTGTGCCTGCCATTGCAGCCTTAATTCTAAACCTAATTTTTGGTTCTTGCTGCAATTGTATTAGAGAATTTTCAAATTTAAAAAAAGGTGCCAGGACCCAGACTACATTTAAATTTCTGTCAATATCCATTTGAGCAAGAGCACCATGTTATATAAGCATTGACTCTTAACATTTTTCCTAATCCACAGCAGTTCCATCTAACTCAAACATATGGCTTCTCCATCCAATTGTTGATTGGTAAAAATCTAATCTGGTTGACTCTAGATTGCCCCGAATTTTGCTTTTGGCTGATTGTTTTGTTGTTGTTTAATTTAGCTTTGTCCTCTAATTCTTCAGATTGGTGTTACACATTTGAAAGGCAGACAACTAACCTGTTACACTGTTACTCCTCTGGAGACTGGAATTAGTCTCTTTTTAGGGGACAGATACCAGGGATCAAACCCAGGGCATTTTACACACAAACAATATGCTCTACTGCTGAGCTCAATCCTGGCCTACAAGAAATTTATTTCCCTAACTCTCCTGCCTCACTCTTTCCTACCATTTTTCATGAGCTCCTCAGTTAAATTTGGAGTGAGAGTGATCTTTTTCTTTTCATTAAAATAAAACTTTTAATTATATATTCACAAAGTATGCTTTGGGGAGATTTTCTTAGAGTACTATTGTAGCTGTTATATTTAGTGGAAAAACTACTATTGTCTGTTATCCTATTTACGACCACTCAAAATGTAATGTATTCTTGTCTTCTTGGTTAAAATTTTTTAAATGAGCATATTTTGACCACTATTTTGCTTAACAGGAAGCCTGCAGACTTGCAGAACTTGGCTCCAGGGACCCACCCACCATTTATAACTTTCAACAATGAAGTCAAAACGGATGTAAATAAGATTGAAGAATTTCTTGAAGAAGTCTTATGCCCTCCCAAGTGAGTATCAAAGGAAAAAAAGAAAAAAGAAAATATAGATGGAAATACTGCCATCTCTTAAAAGCTTTATTTTTCTGTTCACATAAAATCACTGTCCTCCCATTGTTCATCTATTTGCACCGGTAACATCTCCATTGTGAGACTTGTTACTGCTTTTGGCATATTGAATACGTTACGGGTAGCTTGCCAGGCTTTGCTGTGCGGGCACGATACTCTCGGTAGCTTGCCGGACTCTCTGAGAGGGATGGAGGAATCAAACCCAGGTCGGCCCAGGTTGGCTGCGAGCAAGGCAAGCGCCCTACCCACTGTGCTATCGCTCCAACCCTTTCACATAAAAATTAAGCCAAAATGATTGGCTTCTTTCTCTCCATTCATTTTAATAAATGTTACACGGATGTCAGAAATGGTTTCCAGCTAAAACCACTAAGACATACTAAAGAAAGGTATGATTGTGACTAAGCAATAGAGTATATGGATGGTACAAATGGGTTTGTGGCATGTGTAATAGACTATTTGAGGGATACGAGTCCCAAATACAAGTTTTGGGAGGTGAAGAAATGAGGAAAGAAAAGTTTAAATGGGATCAGCTAGAATATCTACTCAGTAGTATAGTACTGCTAGGGATTTTAAAGGTAACTTTCTAAAGCTACTTCCCAAGAAAATTGGTTTTTTAGAATGTTTCCCTATGATCCAATTTTCATTTCTCTATTTCCTGGAGGTGTTTTAGTTTGTTATGTCTTGTTCTTGGGTTTAGTTTTATATTACTCAACTTCTTCCTATAATGTGCATTACAGCTAAGGAGTAATAGCTACATTATATGCTCCAATAATAGGTATGCTGTCCTATTTCCTAGTTTGCAACTATGCAATTTTATACCGTACTGCAATAGGTTTAAAACTATTGGTTTCTTTTAGATTTTCTAGTTCTATTATGCTGAAAGTGAAAATGCTTCTGGTCCATGCCTCTCTTGTTAGCTAACTTGACTAGTATGCTCTGTATCCAGATAAACATCCCAGGAATGACATTATTGGGTTACAGTTATAAAGCAATTATTTAATATTCAGTAAGTAGTTTACTGAAAACAAAACCCTGTGGTTGCAGTAGTGAATAAGACTTTGTTATCAGAAAGTATAGTTAAATATGGATGAAGAGGTGTTACAGTGTGAGAAAGAAAATGAAATCAGGAAAGGTTTTTTTCTTATTTTTTCGAGGGAGGCATGGGGAGTTCAACCACACAGTGTTACTTAGGGCTCTGTTCTTGGAGGTTGCTTCTTGGGGTTCCCAGACAACTGTGTAGTGCTGGAGATCAAACCTGGACCTCCTTTATGCAAGCAATGTATGACCCCTGTATTATCTCTCTAGCCCATATATATTGCATTAGGGACCACTATGGCAGGGCTCAGGGGACCATGTGGTCCTGGGATTGAATTTAGGTTGACTGCATGCAAGGTGAGTGTTCTACCTCTGGCTGTAGTCTCTATTGATTTTTATATCATAGAGAAATTTTAGCTCCACTTTGCTTCGGTATATTTATTCATATAGATGATAGTCTTTTCTTTTAGTTTTAATAATTTAAAGTTTGTTTCTGTTACGGAAGGTTTAATTCTCTTTCGGCCTGTTTTCCTTGTTTTTATTTTTATATTTCAAATAGAGTTTCTAGGGCTGGAGAGATAGTACAGGTATAGGGAGCTTTCCTTGCCATGTGGCTGACCTGGGTTTAGTCACCAGTATCTCATAGAGTCCTGAGCACCGTAGGAAATAGTTTCTGAGTGCAGAGCCAGGAGTAACCCCTGAGCATCTCTGGGTATGGCCCCAACCTAGCCTCTCCATCGCCGCCTTCCCCTCCACCCCCAACCAACCCAAGAAAAAAGGGAGAGTTTCTAAAAAAGGTTTTAAAATTTCACTTTAGGTCGAAGAGATTATTTTTGATGTTGCAAATGCCATTGCTTTTATTAACTAGCAATTATGTGCAGTGTACTGGGCTTTGTGGATTATTTCAGTTAATCCTTTCAAAGACTTGATGAAGAAATTGAAGGTGAGTAATCCAAATAATTTGTCCAAGGTTTCACAATTAATGGTGGCAAAGCAGGAATGCTTAATTTTCATAACCAGGTTTACATGACTTCAAAAACCTATGTTTTGTGTAGTCTCTTTCTGTTCCTCATTTTGTTGTTTGGTTTCTATAAAAGAGCTAGAATGTAAGTCTGTAATTGTACTTTAGTCAGCACCAAATTGAAGGCTAGCTGGAGCTTAGAAGAAGGGAAAGAAAAAAAATCAAAGACAGTTTACTTGACCCTGAGTTTAATTCAGTGACTCCTTTCAAGAAGGGGCAAGGTCAAATTTGTGTTTAGATTTGTTTTTGTTTTTTTTTTGCTATTTGGGTCACACCTGGCAATGCACAAGGATACTCCTGGCTCTCTCTACACTTAGGAATTACTCCTGGCGGTGCTCAGGGGACCATATAGGATGCTGGGGATCGAACCAGGGTTGGCCACGTGCAAGGCAAACGCCTTACCTGCTGTGCTATCGCTCCAACCCCACAAGGTAAAACTTGTGATGAATTTTCTTTTATATCCTTTGGAGCAGCATGTTTACATTCAGGTGTGCTTTTTCTTACCATTAACATGAAATGCTGACCCAACAGGACTACCTACTAACCATTTTTTTCTGGAGAAGGAAGTGTTTCTGAGACCCCCACTAGGCATTCCTTTTCCTTTTCTCTATTGTACTAGGGAATTCAGGGACTACCCTGGTTTATTGCCTTTTCCTTGGAGGTCATGCTGGTCTTTGAGTCCTTAAGAATTGCTAATCCTTCTGCTCTGTTTTTCTTGCCTGCATTGGATAAGGAGAAAAGGCAGAAGAGTTGTACGAACTGATGGACTTTTGAATCTAGCATTTTTAATAACATGTTTTTAGCATTTGTGGATTCTGAGAACAAAGTGCTTTTTATGTGAGCACTTCCTGGTTGAATCACAATGACTATAATGTAGGCAACTGTCTAGAGTTTAGAATTGAAAACTAATGGAATGCTTAGATCAAGGAACTTATGCTGGTCTGTGTTAGCTGCGGGTTTTCTTCTGAGGGTTATGGGTATTTTTTTCTTTGTTTTTAAAGTTCCCTTATTTGAATGAGCCATTTTGCTTCAGAAAAAAGTTCTCAAAACTTTAAACAAGGATTTTTGATTGTACTAGGCCTGTATATGTGGTTGCTTAACTGATAAAAGGATAGAAGGACGTTAGATAATTTTGAAGGATAATTCTGTAAAATGTTATTTCTCTTTTTTAAAATGAGAAATACAGTGTGAGCTGAATGTACAAGGATAATTTATTAGACTAACTAGTGTTCATTCCATTATTAGTACGAAAGGAGATGTCCCAGTTATCTACTAACAGTTCTGTACTAAAAGTTGGATATAGTCTTCGGTAGTCTACTGTCATCAACTCATTTAATGTGGAATAAAGGTTGATTTGAACCCAAGGGACTATTGCCAGCTTAATGCTTTGTGGTCCATGTAGCACTGGGCAGTCTCATTATCATTTGGACCACACCTCAGCTCAGTGCTAACTCCTGGCCCTGTGCTCAGGGATCATTCCTGGTGGAATTTGGAAGACTATATATGGTGCTGGGGATTGAACCCAGGTCAGCCACTATACTAATTGCTCCAGTCCCCAGTGTTGTTATTTGATATTTTTATTTGTTTTTGTTTTGTTTAGGACCACAGCCAGTGATGTTCAGGGGTAACTGATGGCTTTGCACTCAGGAATTACTCCTGGCAGTGCTCTAGGGCCATATGTGATGTAGCAGATTGAACCCAGGTTGGGATCATGCAAGGCGGTTGCCCTACCCAGTATATTATTGCTCTGACCCTGGTGTTGTTATTTGATCCCAGGGCCCCTGCATGCTCAGCTGTGTCCCAAGCTCTGGTAGTTTCTTAAGAGGTTTCCTTTCTTTCATTAAATGTTAAAATGAATGTTCACAATAATGGGAAATCATTTCTTTGTCATTGTGTGCTTAGACTAATAATAATAATTGAATTATTCAAATCCCATGTTTGTGGAAATGCAAAAAAGTTGGCAAAGGATTTGAGCCCTGTTGGTTTAGAATATATATCATCTTTTGTAGAGAACTTTTAAAAAAATTTTCATAAGGTTGTTCTACAATGATGGATTATATTCAATAATTTGAAATTGAAATATTCCGTCCCACCACCACCACACCTTCTCACCACCATTTATTTTGAATTTCCCACCACCATTCAAACCTGCCGAACAGGCAGATACTAGATAATTTACTTGTATTACCCGCTATAAATAACATAGGGTGTCCTAGAAATCTAAAATTTTAGATAATTGGGGTCTGGAGATCTCTCTACAGCCAGCTGCTTGGTTCTGAGATTCTTTTGTGTGTCTCTGGATCTTTGTGTCTCTGGATCATGAGGCTTAATGAGCTTAAATAGTCCTCAGGGGCAGCTTGTGGGCGTGACATCAGGGTCCCATGGGGGCGGGGAGATGTAGTGAAATTGACCAGGCGCAAAGTCCAGAGGCATTTCTGCATCAAGCTGAAGGGGTCCGACATTCTTTTGTGTGTCCTTTTGTAGAAAACTTGATCTGTAGTGAAAAGCTAAAACAACTTTGTATTTGGGAACAGAAATCTTCAGTTTCATTTCATCAACACTTTTAATGGCCCCAATGGGATCCAAGTATGTAAACTTTCTGGAATATAATTTCCTTTTGGACAAAAGGAAAGATTAAAGTAAATGGTCTCTTGTAGCTGTTGTACTGTATGCATTAAATTAATAGTATAAATTTAACAGTTTATTTTGTCTTGGAAGGGGAAAAATAGGGTCTTGTGTGTATTTGTTTTGCTTTTTGGGCTATTTAAAAACTGGGGGATTGCTGGGGGTTTGTGCTGGGTCCCGAGGGTTGTGCTCTAGGAAACATCTGGTGCAGGAATCAAACTCAGTTCTCATGGAAAGAGTGTGTTCAGTCCATTGAAAGTCTCTGCATAAGGAAGGAATGAATAACTTGCTTTAGTGAGCAATATCTTTTATGAATTTTTATAGTATGTATTTGCCTATGAATATAAGGAATTGTTGATGCAAGTTCTTCATTCTTATCTATCTCTAGTAAGTTTGCTTTATATAATCAGTATACCCCCTCATTACTTAGTACAAAGCCTGACACATAGTAGGTTTTTAATAGGATAACGGTTATATACACAGATAACAAATATGCAAAATATTTGGAATTCAAGCCTATTTTGCCGAGTTATTTTGAGAATTCTGAAGCTTCATTAGAAAAAGATAGGTGCAGCTAGATATTGATTGGGGAGAAGGATAATTTTGAAAAAAAAACTTGTCTAGTGGAAGACTGAATGTGCAGAATAGTCGTTTATGTTCTTTGCTCTGTTTTCTGTTTGGAATGAGTTAGTGAAGGTACGGTGTTATAAGCCATGAAAACATTTAAACTGGAATGTGGTTGTTTTTATAGTTAAGGAAAGCTCAAGAATGTTAAACCTGGGATTAACTGTTTCAGCCCAGGCAAGAGAAAAATGGAGAGGATAAGTTTTCTGTAATTAGTATGAGAAAGATACTTATTGAATACAAAATAGGTGAAATTAATTTACTATAATTTTCTTTTTTTTTTGCATTTTGGGTCACACCTGGCAATGCTCAGTCCTGGCTCCGCACTCAGGAATTACCCCTGGCAGTACTCAGGGTACCATATGGGATGCTGGGAATCGAACCTGGGTCGGCCATGTGCAAGGCAAATGCCCTACCCGCTGTGCTATCGCCCCAGCCCCTAATTTTCTTTCTTTTTTTTTTTTTTTTTTAGCTATAATTTCTCATTGAAAAAACTTGCTGTGTAAACCTTTCATTTGTAGAGGAAATTGTTATGCATAGAAATGAGAGCTTTTAGAAGGGTAACTTGAGTATAGCTGAACAATAGATGTTTTATATTCTTACAAATAGAGTGCCGTGTCCAATTTTAAAGACTATCTCCTTTGGGTGTTTGGAGGATCTTCCCAGGAGGGGAGATGTATGTCGAAAGTGGACTATGGACTGAACATGTTTGCCACTCAAGGCCTCTTTTGCAGACCACAACACCCAAAAGGAGAGAGAGAACACAGGGGATTGCCCTGCCACAGAGGCGGGGGGGGGGGGGGGGAGGGGGGGGGGGGGGATGGGGGGGGGGATATTATCCATGGTGGTGGAAAATGGGCACTGGTGGAGGGATGGGTATCTGATCATTGTATAATCAAACCCAAGCACAAAAAATTGTAAATCTACAACTGTACCTCATGGTGTTTCACTAAAAAAAAAAATTAAAAAAAAAAGAAAATTAGTTTGGGAATAAATAGAAATGTTTGTGAATATCCTCATAAAAAAAAGACTATCTCCTTTGAATTTAAAATAGTAAATGTGCGAAATAGAAATATAAAACTGCAATTAAACTAATCTCCTCCCCAAAGTGGCTCATTTTCACTCTTAATTTAAAAAAAAGCACATAACAGCATCTTTAAGAAATATGATGAATCTTGGCTGATGGCCAGAGAGATTGTACAGTGGCTTGCATGTACTGCCTTCCATTACCAGCCCCCCATATGTTGCCCTAAGCACCAGGTGTGGCCCTCAAAACAAAAATTATTGGCTGTAGAGAGAGTACAGCAGGAAGGGCACTTTCCTTGCATGCTGCTGATCCAAGTTTGATTCTTAACAACTCTGGTCCACCAAGCACAACCAGGAGTTGATTCCCTGAGCAAAGCCAGGTATGCCCTTATTGAAAACACACACACACACACACACACACACACACACACACACCCTGCCAGGAGGTAAAAGAGGATAAATCTAAATCATTAATGTAAGACTTTTTCCAAAGTCTTACATTTTACAGGGCTTTTATGCTGACGAATTTCCCCTAAAGAAATTCTAAGTGTGAATCTTTCTAACTCTAGCTCCACTGGAATTGTTGAAAGGAAGAGTGAAGAAAAGAGCTTTTTCACATGTATTTCCAATTTGAGGGTGAAATATCCAGATCATGTGTGTTTGAAATCTAAATGTGTAAAATGTATTATTTGTGGTTTATTTTTTAAGAAAGCAGACAGGTCACGAATGTCTGTTTTCAAACTAGAAAAATTGTGCCAACACAACAGAGTACTTGTTAACAATTTCTGACATCTTTCTGTTTCCTGGTGTCATCTGTACAGTTTTAATACGTGGGAGGTTTCTTAAGAGTCCTGACAATAGGATTGGTAATTATGCTCTGCCTCCTGCTGTTTTTGTCCTTAACTTGTTATGGACAATCAGAATGCTCCAGAGGAGATCCCTGCACAGAGTTTGTACAGGGCATGGCACACCAACATACTGCTTGGCATTGCTAATTGAGAATGTCCCATTGTTTAAATGCTGACTAGGGCAAATGAGGAAATGTATTTTTAACTTGATTTGTGGTTTATTTAAATTCATATTCAAATGGCCACATACCACTAATTGCTTCCATATCGAACAATTTAGTAGAGAATAATTCCTTTTTCACAAAAAGTTCCTTTCAACAGCACTACTCTGCAGCAGCGTTTCTCAACCAGGGGCCATATTTGTGCCCGCGCTTGACCCCTCCCCCCGACTCCCGCTGGTGAACATCGTATCAGTTATGGTGGGGGCAGGGAGTACAGCATGAGACCTGGGGACCAATTAGTATGACAGGGTGACACATGAAGTAAATAAGGACAGAAGGGGCCATAGTCAAAGAAAGGTTGGCTGTGCTAGAGTTCCTTCCTTTTACTCTTTTACAACTGGCAGTGCTCTGGGGTTACTCCTGGCTCTGCGCTCAGGAATCATGCGTGGCAGGCTTAAGGAACCTTTATTGGGTGTTAGGGGTGCAACTTGGGTCACATGCATGCAAGGCAAACAACTTACTCACTGTACTATTTCTCTGACCCTTAGGTTTGTTTTTTTTTTTGCACAAATCTCTGAGCAAGTAGATTTGTTTGCCCACCATTTTAACTTATAACACAAAGTGGAGGTGGAGTGTGGATGCTCTTTGGTTGCCAAGAATATTGATATTTGAAAAAAAAAACCACTGTATAACTTGGTTTCCTAAGGAAAAACACATCTTTGGAATGTCATGGATAGCAGATAATGGTATTTGTTAGAGAGTTGGCCATAACTGTTAGTGTAATAGTTTATTTATTGAGCAAATTTATGCTAATTTATCTTTGAGAAACTATAAATTATCATCACTTTTTCTATCTAGGTACTTAAAGCTTTCACCAAAGCACCCAGAATCAAATACGGCTGGAATGGATATCTTTGCTAAATTCTCTGCCTATATCAAGAATTCAAGGCCAGAGGCTAATGAAGGTAAAGGGTTTTTTGTTTGTTTGTTTGCTTTTTTTTTCAACATCACGCTATGATGCCCCCACATTACCTCAAAATTCCTTATATGATGAAAGTGATTGTAAATGAATAATTTGGAATCCAGATACTTATATGAGTATTAAAACCCGATTTAAAAAGTTTGTTAGAGGTTTGATGACAAACCAGGGTAAATCCTTAAATTGCTGGGAGGGGTGTGTGTGTGTGTGTGTGTGTGTGTGTGTGTGTGTGTGTGTGTATGTGTGTGTGTGTTATCTAAAAGTGAGAATGCTTAGGATATATATGTGATAAAATGATTATTGAATTGAATTAGTTTTCATAGTCTTCTGCGATGAAGGGAGCTATAGCTATACAAAGAACTAGCTAATGGTGTATTGAAAGTAATGGATTGAGTGGCTAAAATAGATTATTGATGTAGTCTAACTTAAATGGTTACTAAATCTTCTATGTACTGTTGGGTGTCAGCAGACTAAATTCAACTTGGTGAATTTTTTGAGTATCAGTTAGATTCTCAAACTTTCCAGGTTTCTCTGCATCTCCTATAACTAAGACTTAGAGCTAAGTCATTATTTGGTAAGAATTGTTTAGGTAGATGAATATAGATTCACACTTTTTAAAAATTAAAGTACACTTCTAGGGGCTGGAAACATAGACCAACCTGGGTTCAATCCCTGGCATTCTATATGGTTCCCTGAGCGTGCTAGGAGTGATTCCTGAGTGCATCATAGCTAGGAGTAAACCCTGAGCACATCTGGATGTGCCCCAAAACAGACAAAAACCAAAAAACCCAACCTTGCCAAAATATGTTTAGGGAATGCCTGTGTTAGTCTATCAAGCTTACGTATAGCTAAGGTAAACTTTGAAGGAGGTCCCATTTAATGAAACTTATTTAATTTCCTTTTTTTTTTTCTTCTTTAAGCATTGTTTTCTTTGGGGAAAACTGTATATAGAGATAGCACTGCACTGTAGCACTGTCCTCCCGTTGTTCATCGATTTGCTCAAGTGGGCCCAGTAACGTCTCCATTGTGAGACTTGTTGTTACTCTGTTTGGCATATCGAATACGTCACGGGTAGCTTGCCAGGCTTTGCCATGTGGGCGAGATACTCTCGGTAGCTTGCCGGACTTTCCAATAGGGGCGGAGAAATCGAACCCAGCTCAGCTGAGCCGGCCTGGTGCAAGGCAAATGCCCTACTGCTGTGATATGTTAAAAGTTACAGCAGTATCCAGAAAGACAGCTCTAAAGACACTTTCTTTTTCTTTTTTTTATTATTCATAAATAGTCTTTATTGTATTTTTGTTTACATTATGACTTCATGTGGTCTGCAATTTTTGTTAGGGCAAAGATATAGTCTCTTTAATTTTTTAAATTTTTAAACATTTTTTAGTGAGCCACCATGATGTGCAGTTACAGATTTACAAACTTTTGTGATTGCGTTTCAGTCATAAAAGGATCGAGTACCCATCCCTTCACCAGTACACATTTCCCCCCACCAATGTTCCCAGTATCCCTCCCGCCATCCCCACCCTATCCTCCCCCACCTGCCTCTGTGGCAGGCACATTCCCTTTCTCTTTCTCTCTCTCTCTCTCCTTTTGGGTGTTATGGTTTGCAATGCAGGTAGTAAGTGGCCAACATGTTTGGTCTATAGTCTTATTTTCCGCACGCATCTCCCATCCCGAGCGAGCCTCCAAGCATCAGTCACTTAGCGGTCCCTTCTCTATTCCAGCTGCCTTTTCCCGCAGCATGTGAGGCCAGCTTCTAAGCCGTGGAGTGCTATCTAAAGATACTTTGATTCAGTGCTCGCTTCGGCAGCACATATACTAAAATTGGAACGATACAGAGAAGATTAGCATGGCCCCTGCACAAGGATGACACGCAAATTCGTGAAGCGTTCCACATCTTTTTTTAAAAAAAAAAAAAGATACTTTGATTCATCATTGGTTTGAATAGTTGAATAATTTAGGTGGAATTCTTTTCTGTTGTTGTTCTCTGTCTCTCACTGCCCCTCACCCCTTTTTATTTTTATTTTTGGGTGGAGTTCTTTGGACAGAAATTTGTGGCAGTAAATGAACAAAAATACCAAAGGGGAAAAAATACTAGAGTCTTGGTTAGGCAATAACAAACATCTTAAAAGAACATTTGCTAGTTCCCTTGTGGTGTTTCAGTAGGCAGATATCCAAGCAATTCAGGCTATTATATTTTTATCAAGTTTTTAAATTGTAGTATTTTATAATTTAGCATTGAATTTTAATCACTTTTGGAATAATACTCAACCAAGAAATGTTGTTCTCTTGTGAAGGAGAAAAGGGGAAGTTCTTAGTTGCCAAGCCTGGATTACACTATTAAATGTGTTCCAGTTTCTTCCTTTGTATGGGAATAATTTTCCCTAGTAATTGGCCTTTTTCTTAACTAATGTTTCTTGTCTACGCACTTTTCTATAACAAGTAAACAATTCCATTGAAGCTCCTCCTATCCATAGACTCTTTCCTGTTCTACCCTTCCTCAGTGCAGGCTGCCTTGGTTCTTTTCATTGTTTCCTTTTATACCCAGATGCTCTTGCTGCATTGTTCTTTGAACTCTTAGTTTAAATCATAATGTTCTTATTTCTCTATGTGGCTTTTGGAAGCTGGAGGGTGGCTAAATTTCTTTTGCCACTTGGTGGTGAGGAAAAGGGGAATAAAATATCTTTGCCTAAAACAGACCAATTGGTTTGGGGGATGGGTGGGGTAGGGAGAAAGTGACTCACATAAGTATAAGTTTGTGTTCTATTTTTTCCTATCAATTGAGTACTGTCTTAAGTAGCCACCTACTCTTAACTGTCCTTAGAATGCTGTTAAACAGAGACTCCCAAACTTAATTGGCCTGCCACTTCCTTGACAGAAAAATTGATAATCACTTCATGCCTCCCTGGTAATGTGAACAAACAGAAATCCTTACCCCTCCATTACACTTGAGGCTGTGTGTGTGTGTGTGTGTGTGTGTGTGTGTGTGTGTGTGTGTGTGTGTCGCATGCATGCACCCCCTCATCCACATTGTGTCTGTCCATCCTATCCCCCCACCCCAAAAAAAAAAACTTTGCAATTTTAGCTTCTTAGTCAAGGAAAACTGTATAGCCTTCTCTGGGAAACACTTCTTCAAACAAATAAGAACAAAAATAATATAATGGGTGACAGATCGTCCATTTTAGGACACTTTATATTAAATTACCTACTAGTAAATAAAATTCCAGTTGCCAAGCAGTGTCCCCCCCACAGGGGCCTGTCATTGCCATGAGACTTCAGAACACTGTTTTTAGTTATTTTAGGAACTTAATCGGTTTCCCTTATGTGTTTTTTTTGGTTACAGTTCTGCAGTTCTTTTATCTGTCTGTTTAGTGCAATTAAAAATCTTAACAGTCTGAAAAGTAGTGATTCAACTTGTTGTTTTAATCTAAACAGTAAATAACTCACATAGAGATGGAGTCGTCATTTTCACATAAATGGGAATAGCTTGGCCTTTGAGTAGTAACTGTTAAGTGTTTTACAAACTTCAGTTTGTTAGCGCAATTTTAAGAACCCGATTTTAGCACAGATTTAAGACTCCATGTCACAGTGCTGGGCTAGTGAAAGTGAAACCAAATGTGGTGCTTAGATTTTGGGACAAGTCAACAAATAAGATTCAAAGATTACTGTAAAGGAAAACACTGATGATAGATACAATAGAAAATATTTTGGTAAAATATTTAAGTTTATTGGGAGTAAGAATGTTAGCTTTTGAAGCATTAAAAGAAAAACAAGTGGTTAATTCCTTTTATGGTGAAGGATAGGGAATAACTTGTCCTAGATCTGAGTTTTGATAGTATTGTAATTTGCTAATTTATATAATAGTAACTAAGTGCTCAGCTGTTAACTAGTATGTACTTCATTAGCTGTTAGCTATGAATATTCTTAAGGAATTAGTGAATTGAGCAGTGGTAAAGATCTGCCATTATGTGTTCTGAGACATAGGTCATAATATTATGATTTATATCTTTAAGCAGAAGCAGTTTATTTTTTTTATTCCAGATTTCTTATTCCTCCCTCTTAATATCTTTTTTCCTCCCACCCTTTGTTCCTCTTCCTTTCTGGGAAAGCATTTGTAACCAGATGGTGATTGATGATTGTTTTTCATTTTAGGTAGGAAGAGGCATAGTATACCTATCCGTCCTTTTAAAAATCGGTTATGTGTAGTGCTCTGCAACCATAAAATATTGACTTTAATACTATTTCTAAACTGTGATACCTCAAATTTTAAAAAATGGTTGTATAAGATTAACCCTTAGTAAAACTAATAGCAACTGTAAAATATAGTTTTAGCCAGGTAAATAATCATAATTTTTGTTGTCTTCATCGTGAATTATTACTGTTTTCTACAAATAGATGTGGTCTTATTAGAGTAACCCTTTTCTGCTGCATTAACTCATTTAGATTATATTATAGGGTAATGTGTGCTTATTGAAATAATTAAAATAGAAATAAAATCAATGAAATCTCAGTGCCCCTCTTAAATCACATCATTTAACCTTTTCATTTAAATGTAATTTTGCAAAAGTATGTAAATTTATTCATGTAATTATATTCTGCAGTTGCCTTTTTGTGTATTGTGTGATAGAATTCCTTCCATGTAAAAATATAAATCAACTCAATATTTTAGAAGTACTGCTTAATATTCCATGTGGATTTTTATTTATACATTATCTTGCAGATATTTAGATTTCTTGAGTGTATTTTATTACAACTGATAATACTGCTAGTGAATGTTCTTATAAATAGTTTTGTCATTTTATTTTGTAGGGAAAAAATGGTTTCGTACATGGCAAGAAACTATAAATTCAAAATTTAGAAATAAGGCTTAGCCAGCACTCATTTCTTTAAAAAGTTTGTATGAGTATCTAGTCAAAATCAATGGTATAAATATAAATTTGGAGTTTAAATAAGTTTTTCCCAGTTATTCTTGAAAAATATATGCCAGTTTATATTTACATTAATGTGAGAGTATTTGTTTCTCACACTTCTGAGTGAGAGACAGAATGATTATCTTTGAAAGAAATGGAGAATATTAATCATTTGAATTTTGCTCTCTTCTCAGAGGCCCAAAACGGTGATTTGGTTTTCATGAGAAATTTTAAATTCATGCAATTTCAAGTTGATTATATGGCCTTTATTACAATTTTTTTTGAGCGCTTTTGATGTATCTTCTTTGACATGCCAGCATAAAAGTATTAAAGAATAGCACTGAAACTACTCATAGGACAAGGAATTACTTTCTGCTGGCCTCTTACTGCCTTCTAGTGGTGAATCTTGACATTTTCTTTATTTTTATTGTTTAATGTTGGTTTATTTTTGGCTTTTAAAGTTGTGGGAAGCCACATCCAGAATTACTCCTGTTAGTGTTCAGAAGACCATATGGGACTCGAACCCGGGTCTGTTGCATGCAAGGAAAGTGACCTATCTCCTGTTCTATTGCTCTGGCCCTGAATGATTTTTCTTTTTCAGTACTTCTTGGTATCTTTGTTGTTTGCTTTTCCATATGGAGATGATAAACTTTATATCAGATAATTAATTATGTTTTGTTTTTGACACTATACCTGTTATTCTGATACTCTTAAAAAATTCTTTTTGGGGTGTGGGGCTCACATCTGGCAATGTTCAGGGGTTACGCTAGGTTTTGTACTCAGGAATCATTCCTGGTGGTACTTGGGGCAGCATATGGGATGCCGGGGATTGAACCCAGGTTGGTTATGCTATATAAATGTACTATCAGTTCAGCCCCTATTCTGACATTCTTAATAAGTGTGAACGGTATGTGATAGATCTTCTGGAATGTGATCTATCTTTCAGCTTTGGAGAGGGGTCTTTTGAAAACACTCCAGAAACTGGATGAATATCTGAATTCTCCCCTCCCTGATGAAATTGATGAGAATAGTATGGAGGACATCAAGTTTTCTACACGGAAATTCCTAGATGGCAACGAGATGACACTAGCCGATTGTAATCTGCTGCCCAAACTGCATATTGTCAAGGTAGGTCAATAGGATGTGGTGACTTGTGGGTGGACTTCAAGTCTAGTTTTCTGCTTGCTAACATTCTATCTACTAAGTTTTTCCTTTGTACACAAGACTTCTCTGATTTCCCTGAGTACACCTAGGAACCCCAAATAGTCTAACTAATGCTATTTAGACAGCAGTTGAGACACCGTAGAGTTAAATGAAGTAGAAAAAATGCAGATGTCTTAAAATTGGGACATTTGAAAAGGAAGGTACTTTTTTGTTTTCTACATAAATTTAAAGATGAAGTAGATGACTTTGAATTGGAATTTGCCACACCGACTTAGTCAGGTTCTGTGATCTTTTTCCATTCATGGTAAAAAAAAAAAATTGAGCATTGATTGTGAAATACTGTGCTAAGTAGAAGTTATAAATAGTACTTGCGTGGTAAAATAAAGATCAAGAAAAAACTCAGCAGATTTGAAAATAAACCTGGGGGGCTGGAGAGATAGTCATTGTGCTGAGCACATATTGGAGGCACATACTTGATTCAAACAGAAAACAAAGAAATCCTCTAAAAAGTAGTGGTTTTCTTTTGGGTCACACAAACAGTGCTCAGGTGCTATTTATTCCTAACTCAGTGTTGAAAGTCATATTCTCTGGTACTTTTTTAGGGGACTGTGCAGTGCTGAGGGTTGATCCCAGGGCTCTAATATGCAAGCATGACCATTAGTCTTTGAGCTGCCTCTCCATCCCTAGACCAGTGTCTAAAGTATTTATCCAGTGGGTTATACTTGACTGTGTCTCTGGATAGCTAAGGCTGGCTTTTGTAATCACTGTCATACTTCTGAGTCTGGTATAGTTTACAGATCTTGTCATTATTTCACTTCTAGTTAGAATGAAAGTGGCAGTCTTTTTTCCACAAAATCAATAATTTACCCAAATGTTGGAACTATGTCTGGTCTGTATTACATGGAAAATAAATGTTGATGTCTTATCCCTTTGTGTTTCAGGTGGTGGCCAAAAAATATCGCAACTTTGATATTCCAAAAGGAATGACTGGCATCTGGAGATACTTAACTAATGCTTATAGTAGAGATGAGTTTACCAATACCTGCCCCAGTGATAAGGAGGTCGAAATAGCATATAGCGATGTAGCCAAAAGACTTACCAAGTAAAATAGCACTTGTAAGAGAGATATCTTCTCATCTTCCCCTAAGAACATGGCTTTTCTTAACAGACTGCTCCTTCCTATGAAGTCTGAATTTTATTTTGCATGATCATGCAGTTAATCGAGATTAGGACAAAGGATAGACAAGGTATAGTAGCTGTCTTGAAATATACACTCCTAAGCAGTATTATTTCAAATTTCTTTTACCTATTTCGCCTCATCTTTATCCGCCTCTCCTATCATTTGGAGACACTCCATCACAAACTTTTCACTTTAGAGGTAGTTTGCCCTCTTTGGAGCTCTCACCGCTCAGTCCATTCCTTATGTATAGATGGCAGAACTTTTTGAGGTGTAATGTTTAACTGTTAACTGCTAAAATAGTAGCCATGTACTCATCAGTTAATCCCAAACTGGTGCATAATACATGGTACAAGGAATATTTATGTATTGGGGGAATTTTATATTATTTAGTAAGAGTATGAAACGATCGCTACTGTATTAAAATCTTTTTCAACTTAGTCTGTCCTGGATATGTACTAAAAGGATATTAGGGCCAGCGGAGGAAATCTACAGAAAGTCACAACACATTTTGCTACTTCACTCTATGTGGATTTTAATTTACTTAAAAGCATGTAATAAGCCTTTAAACCAATTAGAACACTGACATCAGATAGCAGCTGAAAGTTTAGAGGGAGGGATATATTCTTAAGATATATTTTGGTAATTTTTTTTATACCTAGCTTGTTTAAGAAGTGCTATTTCTTATAGAATGTTTTTTGAAATTTCAAGTATATTGCTTTAAAATGGCAAAGTTTTTCCCCTTTTGATATCTTAACTGTTAGTAAGCCCTGGCTTTATGGAAGAAACTAGCTTGGTATAGAAAGATAAGAAGAGCTCCATATTGTATCCACTTGGCTCAGGGAGATTTCTTTAACTAATCTTTCTTCTGGTCACGGTCCAGTCACGGTCCTCCCGTTGTTCATCGATTTGCTCGAGCGGGCCCAGTAACGTCTCCATCATGAGACTTGTTACTGTGTAGCTTGCCAGGCTCTGCTGTGCGGGGCGAGATACTCTCAGTAGCTTGCCGGGCTCTCCAAGAGGGGCGGAGGAATCGAACTCGGGTCAGCCATGTTGGCCGCTTGTAAGGCAAACGCCCTACCACTATGCTATCACTCCAGCCCTAACTTCTAAGAAACTAATCTTTCTTAGAACTTCTTTTTATAGATCAAACTCCCTTTTATAATTAAATATTGGATGATGATTTATTTGGCTCTAGCAAGAAGCATTATGAGGTTATTGAGAAATACTGTAACAGTTGCTTCAGTGGGTACAAATGTCACATCTGCACCAGTACAGTACACTGGGAGCCATCATTTTTTTCCCCTGCTTTTTTTCCCTGCTTTTAAAGTAGTGACAACTTGGTGTTTACTGAACCTTGCTTCATAGTTTAAAAGATTAAAAAAAAAAAAGAGTCAAGAGATGTTGGCATCTGTTCTTTCAAGTGGACTAAGTGGTACAGAGCAGAGGGTTAATGAAAAAAAAAAGTCATGTAGCTCAAAATGGAGTGATAAAAAAACCAGTCTGAAACTCGCTTGTGAATATTTCCCCTTTGAATTCTCTCTCTCAAAATTTCTTTTGTTTTCCACTTCATCAAAAGGTTAGACTTAGCTATCTCAGGATATCCTAGGAAGGCAGGTTTGTTTGATGATTTTGATGAAGACAGAACTCTATAGAAAGACAAGTCATAGTTTTATCAGGAAAGTCAGCCAAATGGAATTAAGATTGACAAATGGACAGAAGTGGTAAAAAGGATGATTCTATGATAGGCATCTTCCCTCATAATTGGTTGCAGGATCATAGTTTAAAATCTTGGGAGACTTGGGGCACAAAAGTTTTCGTGGCAGTTCATGTAGTATTTTGCCTTATCACAGTCATTCATATTTTAGTAAAGGTAAAGGTAAAGGCCCTCCCGTTGATCGTCGATTTGCTCGAGCGGGCCCAGTAACGTCTCCATTGGAGACTTTGTTGTTACTGTGTCTGGCATATCCAATACTCTCGGTAGCTTGCCGGGCTCTCCGAGAGGGGCGGAGGAATCGAACTCGGGTCAGCCATGTTGGCCGCTTGTAAGGCGAACGCCCTACCTGCTGTGCTATCGCTCCAGCCCATATTTTAGTATAGTTGACATAATTGAAATCATGATATTTTTTCAGCTACTGAATCTTTTCCTCCCTGCTTCATTTCTATTCCACTTCAGTAAGGAGATTGGATATTAAATGAAAATGCTCACTGTTTCGTGGGGGACTTTGAGAGATTTTTGTATTAAACAATTGGAAAGCTCTGTTATTTCAGTTGATATAACTTTTTTATATAGATGTAGATTTTCTGTACAGTTATGTTACCTCCTTTTGATAGGATTTCTGACTTACAGTAAAATGCAGATGATATTTTATTTGTTAGTAACTTTGGCTTGCATAACTTATCTTAAACCCTTGAGCAATTTGTATACAATTGAGAGTTTCCTGACATTTAGAATTAGGATTAGTTGATTCTTCTAGAATTTAGACATTTTGACTTTATTTTTGTTGAGTTTTGAATCAAAGTTCATGTAGATAGCTTTTAACTCTGCATTAAAAAATACCCATTTAGAAAATATTTACAAGGTAAAAAAATGAGAAGAAATGAAAATGTATTTTTTCATGATAATTTTCATACACATTTCATCAAGTTTATTGATTTTTTTACACTGGCTATAATTTGTATTTGATTAAAAGAGACAAAAGCGTTCATTACTGATGTGAACTTTTAAAAGATTGCATTGATAATTTACAGATTAATGTTGGTCATCACAATTGTATTTTTGTCATGAGAAGCTTTTAACTTTTCCCAAATCCTAGTTTTGGACAGAATTGGAGTATTTTCTTTAGAATTATTTGGAAAAAAAAAACCTTTTTTTTTCTCTCTGGAACCAGTATGTTGCTGGCAGCTGTTGTATTAAAAATAAAGTATATTTTCACTACCATAGAAGGTTCTTTGGTTTCTTCTTCATGAAAATAAATAAATTGAGGTAAAAGTTTTGCGTGAGACTGTTTTTTTCCCTTTGGGTGATTTAGTAAATAATGAACAAAAATCATGATCATCTCCATAGGTGCATAAAATAATTTGATTAAAATGTTCATGAACATACTTTGATTAAAATGTTCATGATATTCATCCTTATCAAAATAGGATCAGCAGTAAAAACTTTAATAAAGATACTTGTTAAGGGTGCTGGAGAGATAGTACAACAAGTAAGTACCTTGCATACGGTTGACCCCGATTTCATACCTGGCATCCCATTATGTTTCCTCAAACATTGCCAGAAATGATCCCTAAGCGCAGAGCCATCAATAAGCCCTGATTACCACCCGGTATGGGCCAGAACACCAGTCTGCCCTCAAAAAAAAAAAAAGCCTGTTAAGAACCTACACCAATTTTCATGTATGAATATGAAATAGAAGCTCTCATTGGTCAGGAAAAAGAATTATCGTCTATGGCAGCTGTTACTCAGGTACTTTCCATTGCTAATTTATTAAAAAGCCTCCTTGTCAATGCAGTAAAGTATCAATAAAAGTAAGGACTGTTTGGGTGCGGGGGACCAGGGGTCATTGGTGGAGGGATGGCTCATAGGGTGTTGGGTTTGGAAATGGGAACACTTGTACATCTGAAATTCTATTTTGAAGAACTTTGTATGGAAAAGAAAGTGAATAGTTGACTGCTCTTTGTTTTCCCAGAGGACAGAACCACCCTGCGTATTTTTTTTTTATTAGTGAAACACCATGAGGTACAGTTGTAGATTTACAATTTTTTGTGCTTGGGTTTTGATTATACAATGATCAAATACCCATCCCTCCACCAGTGCCCATTTTCCACCACCATGGATAATATCCCTCCCACCCCCATCCCCCCCATCCCACCCTGCCTCTGTGGCAGGGCATTCCCTTTTGTTCTCTCTCTCCTTTTGGGTGTTGTGGTCTGCAAAAGAGGCATTGAGTGGCAGACATGTTCAGTCCATAGTCTACTTTCAACATGCATCTCCCCTCCTGGGAGGATCTTCCAAACACCCTTTATTTGGTGCTCCCTTCAGGTGCTCACCGTGGGTTTTTTTGTTTTGGTTGTTTGCTTTTTGTTTTGGGCTGGAGTGATAGCACAGCGGGTAGGGCGTTTGCCTTGCACGCAGCCAACATGGCTGACCCGACTTCGATTCCTCCGCCCCTCTCGGAGAGCCCGGCAAGCTACTGAGAGTATCTCGCCCAGACGGCAGAGCCTGGCAAGCTCCCCGTGACGTATTCGATATGCCAAACACAGTAACAACAAAGTCTCAAAATGGACACTTACTGGGCCTGCTCGAGAAAATCAATGAACAACGGGAGGACAGTGACAGCTTTTTGTTTTGGGGTCACACCCAGCAGTGCTCAGGGCTTATTTCTTCAGGGGATCAAATGGAGTGCTGGGGATCAGACCCTGGTCAACCACGTGCAAGGCAAGTGCCCTACCTACTGTACTAGCACTCTGGCCCAGTTGATGGTTCTTTGAAGATGATCTACATGTATTGAAGATACTCAAAATAACCTATTAGAAAAGAGAAAGTTTAATAGAATTATTGAATACACTGTAGCACTGTCCTCCCGTTCATCATCGATTTGCTCGAAGGGGCCCAGTAACGTCTCCATTGTGAGACTTGTTACTGTGGTTGGCATATTGAATACATCATGGGTAGCGTGCCAGGCTTTGCCATGTGGCCGAGATACTCTTGGTAGCTTGCCGGGCTCTCTGAGAGGGGCAGAGAAATCGAACCCAGGTTGGCCACGCCCTACCCGCTGTGCTATCGTTCCAGCCCATTGAATACAAGATTGAGGAATAGAGACTAATAATATTACATGCGATATTAACTAAAATTTAAAAAGCTAGTAATATTGGTTACCTCTAGAGGAAAATAGAGTAAAAAATAGGAAATTGTTGACATGTATATGAGTTTTCAGTTTTTGCTTTTTTGAGTCACACCTGGCAATGCACAGGGGTTACTCCTGGCTCATGCACTCAAGAATTACTCCTGGCGGTGCTCAGGGAACCATATGGGATGCTGGTAGTCGAACCCGGGTCGGCCGCATGCAAGGCAAATGTCCTTACCAGCTGTGCTATCACTCCAACACTATGAATTTTTAGAAACTTGTAATAAATTGTTGCTTATTTTTAAAAAGTGTTGTAAAATAAAGTATAGGGCTATTTATTTGGCTCAATCTAATAGAAAATGGAGTGTGTGTGTGTGTGTGTGTGTGTGTGTGTGTGTGTGTAGTGGGGCCCACACCCACAGTGTTCAGATCTTACTCCAGATTCTGCTCAGGGATCACTCCTGTCCTTGGTGGGGAGACTGTATATTGTTCTGGGTAAAGAATCCTAGTTGTCTGCTGCATACAAGGGGAATGTCCAGCTTGCTGTACTGTCTCTCTTTCCCCATGATGACAATGCATTCTGAGAAGTGCATCATGAGGCAATTTCATTGTGTGAATATCTGAGTGTAATTACACAAAGATAGCACAGCCAATTCAACACCTCAGCTATGGTTGCTGCTGGGATTGCTGCTGTATATGCAGCCCACTGATAGCTATGTGCTTCACAACATGCTACAACACGCATGCAGAAAATGCGTAGCAAGGACAACCAGGCACAAACAGCCAGAGGATTCTGTTTCTCTGAAGTGACAAGAGGGCAAAGCGATAGTACATGAAAGAAGTAACTGCTATGAGTACTTTTTGGAATGATGAAATGTCCTGAAATTAAATAACAGTGAACATCATACAGATTTGTAAATACATTAAAAATTTAATGGCATGTAAATTTACGTCCCAATTTTCAGAAACTAAAGGGAAAAATTCTGACTTGCTGGAGTTTTGAATAATGTATTGACAGGTGATTGGCAAAGTAATGTTTGTGTTCCTTTGTGTTTGGACAAAAGTTAAATTTACCTAGCATCATGTATATATAATGTATTAAATATACTTAGTATATATACATGTGTCTGAGGACCACACCTGGCAGTGCATAGGGTTTAATCCTGGCCATGGAGCCACTCCTGGAGTTGCTGGAAGTCTGCATGTGGTGCCAGGGGTGGAACAGGTGTCAGCCATGTGCAAGGCAAGCACCTGTTAAGCCCTGCACTGTTGCTCCAGCCCCTGAGATACATACTTAAAAAGGAGAAAATATGTTATTGGTGGTACAACTCTATAGAGTTGATTTAATCCACCTGAAATGACTGAAATTTATAGTTTGTAAATTATACCAATAACATTTTTGAAACAAAAAATACAAATCTGAAATTAAGAATTTAGATATGTTATCTTTGGCCCTAGATTGTAGAAATGAGGACAGTAGGGAAGAAAATGAGGGAGGAGGGTGAGGCGATAGTACAACTGGTAGGGCGCTTGCCTTGCACCCACTAGGATACCCCGAACACTGAAAAAAGAGTGATCCCTGCGCGCAAAGCCAGGAGTAAGCACTAAGTACCGCGGGTGTGGCCCAAAACCAAACAAAACAAGAATGAAGGGGTCTAGGTCCCAGATTACTCAGGCACCCCCCAAGACTGTTCATCCCTCAAGGAGGAAGCAGGAGCCTAACTCGTCCCTAAATTGGTCCCTAAATTAGCCCTCCCTCACAACAGATGGGTCAAGTCCTAACGTGACCGGAAGGGGGCGCTGGCTCCCTGCTTTTGAAATCCCGCTATTGCAAAGCACCGTGGTGGCCGCTGCAGAAGCCCACCAGTTTGGCGAGCTGTCAGCTCCCTTCAGCAGCGTCCTGGGCTTCCTTCCTCTTTATCAGATCTGCCTGAGCTGCTGCAGCGCTTTGCGAAGGCGGCTCCAACCTTCTTCCCTTCTTCCTGTGTCGCACAGAGGCTCGCAGACTCAGCCACTTACCTACGCCTCCCCCTCTATCGCCCGCTGGAGGCCGGGCCTGAGGTCCCATTAGCCCCGGCTCCACCCCTCTTTTCTTTGGAGGTGCGCCCCCGTTTTGAGGTCAGTATGCCCTTGGGCTTTGGCTGCCTTGAGATCCAAAAACAAGCGCGCGCCTCCAGCAGATCAGCTTTGCAGAGCCGTGGCGCGTCCGCAGGAAGCGCTTCGCAAGCAAAACTAGCAGGTCTGGTGGCAGTTGAGTCGAGGCGAGGGCGAGGGACTTTGCTGTGGTTAGTCCTGGAGGTCCTCCCTCCCCCCACCCCAGGGCACAGAGAGTCCTTTTAACGCCCGGTCCCTGTAGGCGTTGGCCCAAGGGGTTGTGAGTGCCCCTGCCGGCGCGGGCGGCGCGGGCGGGCCCGGCTCCGCGGAAAGACCATTGCCTGCGGGAAGGGAGACGCATTGGGGACCCGGAGGTGACAGCGTCCGTCCGAGAAGGCCAGAAGGGAATGACCTCAGCCTCCCAAAGGTTTCCCTTTCACCTTTCCTCCCCGTCTGCTGTGGTAGTGATGATCACGTTTTACAATTATTTTCTTAGATAACATGCACAGAGAGAAGTGCCTGGTGTCACCAAGTGAGGATCTGGTGATACAACTTTGGCTCCAGAGCTCTCCTAGGCACTAGGAGACACGTTGAACAGTGGAGGCTCAGCAAACTGAATCCTCCGCTCTTCACCCCTCCACCCCTCTCCTCCCCGCTTCCCTTCTTTTCTCATTCCCTCCCCTCCCCCCGCTTTCCTCTCCTGTCTCCTCTCTTCTCTCTTTTTTTATTTGAGGTGAGTGGTCACACCAAGTGGTGCTTGGGATCATACAGTGCCAGGGATCAAACTTAGGGCCACACACACACACAGGCACGCAGGGGTGCACACACACAAGGCATGAGCTCTACCTGGGCATGACCCCAGGATGAACTGCATCCCTGGATTGAAAGCAGGTTTTTTTTTTTTGTTTTGGGGCCACACCTGGTGGTGTTCAGAGCTCACTCCTGGTTCAGGAGTCACTCCTGTTGGGGCTCCAGAATCCTATGGGGGTACTAAGGC